AAGAACTAGAAACAAAGATGTCCATCAAGTGGGGGCAATGACTAAGTAAATTGTGGAACATGAAAGTAATGAGGCAGTAGGGGGCAGAGTGGACAGAGTATAGGCCTGGAATGAGTAAGACCTGAGTTCAAATCCAGCCTCAAATGCTTACTAGCTGTATGACCCTGGGCAAGTCACTTAACCTCATTTACCTCAGTTTCCTCATCTGTAAAATGGGATCCCTACCTTCCAGGGTTGTTATAAGGAAATTGCTTAGCACAGTGCCTGGCACATAGTGTGTTAGGTGCTTAACAAACATTAGTTATTATTATTGTCATTATTATTAATGGAATAATAGTGTGCTGTAAGAAATGATCAATGTGGCAAACATAGGGAAACGCAGAGAGACTTGTATGCAAAGTGAAGTCGGCAGAACCAGGAAAACAATATAAACAGTGACTACAACAATGAGATGAGAAAGAACAAGAAAATAAAATGTTCAAAACCATTATCTTTGGCCCCAAAAACAGATGTGAGCAGACACCTCGGGGCCTTTCTTTATAGAGGTGGGGGACTATGGAGGGGGAACACCTTATGTCTTATCAGACTTTTTTTTTATATGTTGTTTTCTTTTGCTGACTTTTTTCCTTTCTCTTTTTAATTCTCCATTAGAAGGGATGGCTCTCAGGAAGTGAGAAAGTAGAGAGAGATAAATGCAGTTGATGTTAAAGCAAAGATAACAGTAAAAATTTATTTTAAAAAAATCTTCCTCAAAACTCACCTCCAGGAAGTCTTCTACGACTAATCATTAGTAAACAATTAATTGATCAACAAACATTTCTTAAGATCCTACTCTGTGCCAGGAACTGGATAAGTGTTTAGGAGAGCACTGTAGTTAGAGGGTCAGAGTTCAAATTCTAGCTGTGTCATGGTCTGCCAGCTTGACTTTGGGTAAGTCATTTCTCTTGCGGCCATGGTTTCCATGCATGTGAAAAAGGGGGTAAGAAGCTCAGCACAGTGGAAAGAGCATGAGTTGTAGAGTGAGGAAGCTTGGATTCAAATGATGCATTTACCACTTGCCTACCTTGGGCAAGTGTCTCTACCACCTCTTTCCTCAGTTTCCTCATCTGTAAAATGACAGAGTTAGACTTGGTAACCTTTGATTTCTCTTCTATCTCTAGAGTTACGACCCTATGATTAGATGATCTCTAAGAGTCCTTCTAGTTTTCGACACCTTGAATCCCACTGGGCCTGGCACACAGTAGGCACTTCACAGACACTTCTTGGCTGACTTACTCCAAGTCCGACCCTGTAACACTTAGTCTAAAACAGGCATTTTTAGTCAACAAACTAAAGAAGCTAATATTGAACTAAACTTAATTTTTAAAATGAATAACCTGATGAGGTTCAAGGGCACCTCAAAATGTTGGGGTATAAGGTCATCGGGAAAGAATTCCCTCAGGCTGCATCCAAATCAAGTAGAGGCATTTATTGGGGTAACTCACCACACTAAGCAGGCTCCTGCACCCATTAAGAGAGAAGGCAGATCAAGAGAGAGTAGTAGCCCTCTAAGGGAGAGGAGCCCACCAAGGGAGAAGGGGCTCCCCTAAGGGAGATGCTCTTTAAGTGGGACACCCTCCGGTTAAGGAAGATGCCTGAGTAAGGAGGATGCCTCCCCCCCCCCGCCCCATTTAAGGGAGGGGTGTCACTAGCCAGGGGAGGGGAGAGATTCTTATAGAGAAAAAACCTGCAGTGGGCGGGGAGACTAAGGTAATCCTGGACTGTAGTCTCAGGCATTATCTATTATCATCATCATCATCATTATCATTATTATTATTTCATTGTTCAACTGGGGGTGGTGTGGTGTGGCAAAAGTCTGTTAGTTTCAGTTTTTCTCAGACCAGCCTACTTGAATCTCACTGTCTCCTAAAATGGCTTTAAGTGGTATTTGAGATAATGGGCTTCTCAGGGACTACTCTATTTGAATCTCATTAATGCAATTTAACTTTAAATATAAATAAATAAATGTTCATTTATTTATATATTTATAAACATATAAATATATATTTTGTGAAATGCAAAACATCAAAATTTTATTTTGAACTTGGGAAATAAAACAAGCATTTCGATAACATAGTAGAATAGAAAAAGGTGATTGCTCATGAAACTGCAAATCTATTAGGTACAACTTGCTATTCCTTTTAAATATATGAGAAAGTTATCATGTAACTTTTTTCCTTTTTTTCTTTCCCCCAAGATGGCTACCATTAGATACAAATATATATGTGTGTGTATATATATATTATATATAGATGTAAAATTATTCTATACATTCTTCTATTTATCAGTTCTTTCTCTGGATGCAGATGGTGTCTTCCTTCATTGGTCCTTTGCAGTTAATTTTCAATTGAATATCAACTTTTTTTAAAGACAGTAAGGTCTTAAAACTAAGGTCTTCCTACCACCACAGTGCAGACCAGGACTTATTCTGGAACTCATAAAGTTGCTTTGAGCATTTATTGTGCCCTAGGCACTGTGCTAACTCCTGGGAATACAATTTTGAGCAAAAAGAAAGCCAGTCCCTGCCCTCAAGAAGCTTACATTCTAACAGAGAAGGGACACACTTAAAGGGAGATAAAAAGGGGGTGGAGAGAAAAAACCTTCCAGGGCTTGGTCAGAGTCTGGAGCAGAGCTGTTTGTCCTTCCTTCTTGTAGAGGACTATGACTTGAGGAAGGTGATGTTGTGACTTGCAAGTGAATTGGATTTAAGTGAGGCAGGACCTTACAAAGTCACCACCCTCACCGTCTCCTCTGGAGCCATCTGGTTCCAGTGGCATGATGTAGGTCAGGACAACTGGAGATGGCCCTGATGCAGTGGGAAACCTTGGTCTTTTTAAGCTAAAGTCTTTCCCGGTCTCAGTTTGTCTGAGGCAACACTCATTCAGTGACTAAGGCTAGGTAAGAATGAGGCTAAAAATGGTCTCTTTTACCTACTCAAAAACAAACAAACAAAAAATTAATCTGGCAGACAGAAACAGTTGCTATATACACTTACTTTGAGCCCAAACAATGACCAAATGAGACTTGGACTGGGACCTATTGTTGGCCAATCAAAGAGAGCCAGAGTGATTTGGGTTTAAAGCATGGTCCTTAAAAAGAAATGTAGCCCATAAACCCCAAGATATCTTGTGAGGTTCAGCGATCAAAATTTATATTCCTTTGGGCAGAGCACCTGCAGGTAGGGGTATGATTCCCTATGTGGACAGAGGGAAAGGAGGGGGAGGAAGGAAGGAAGGGAGGAAGGAAGGAAGGAAGGGAGGAAGGAAGGAAGGAAGGAAGGGAGGAATGAAGGAAGGAAGGAAGGGAGGAATGAAGGAAGGAAGGGAGGAAGGAAGGAAGGAAGGAAGGAAGGAAGGAAGGAAGGAAGGAAGGAAGGAAGGAAGGAAGGAAGGAAGGAAGGAAGGAGGAAGGAAGGAAGGAAGGAAGGAAAGAAGGAAGGAAGGAAGGAAGGAAGGAAGGAAGGAAGGAAGGAAGGAAGGAAGGAAGGAAGGAAGGAAGGAAGGAAGGAAGGAAGGAAGGGGGAGGGAGGCAGGATGGGGGAACTCTGTTACCCAACTGGAATTGCCCTACTGATGATCACAGATTGTCAGGAGAAGAGCTGGGAGACCAGTGAAGGATGGCTGACCTGAGCACTTCCTCAAGTGGAGGTCATGGGGTCAATTCACTAATAGGAGAAGGAGGTCACAGGGTGGAGGGATCTTCCAGGGTAAGAAAGAAGCTGAGGCATGGCAGTAATGTTTTCATGGGGCACCCAAAGTCCCTGGAGTCGGGCTGAGCTGGGAGAGACGAGCTCGCCCAGGGTTGGACGGGTAGTGTGTGATGGCGAACTCTTAGACCCCTCAGGAGGTTCCCGTGCTGCCTCCTGGGCACTTTAGTTCTAGGCACTATCTATGGCTTTGTAATGGATCTTGAATCTTTTACTCACCCTTGGGAGACAGCTTGGTGAGAGGAAGGACCACTGGACCACAGAGCCAGAAGACCCTGGTTTGAATCCATGGTCCTCATGAATATGTACAAATTATTTCACCTCTCTCGACTCAGTCTCCTTTTCTGTAAAATGTGGATTATAATTTTTTTGTAGTAACTTCCTCCTGGGGCTGTGCACTGTACTCAGTGGGCACTGAATACCCTGTGCTGATTACACCAAATAGCTTTTCAAATAGTAATGTAAGAGGGGCCTCTGTGGCAGAAACACTCAGGATTCGAGGTCTACCTTTGGTACATACTGGCTGTGTGACCCTGAGGAAGTTATTTGACCTCTCAAGCACCAATCCTATTACCCAACAGAGTCCTTGATCAAGTCAGAGTCAGGCGGTAACATTTATTAAGCACCTACTACGTGTCAGGCGCTGTGCTAAGTGCTGGAGATAAAAAAAAGAATAAGACAGTCCCTGCCCTCAAGGAGCTCACAGTCTAATGGGGAAAGTCACTACCTGGGCCTTAGTTTTTTCATCTGAAAAATGAGACGGTTGGAGAGATGGCCTGTGAGGTCCTTTCTAGCTCAAAATCTAAGGTCTTAGAAATCACTTACCTCCCTGGGCCTCGGTTTTCTTACCTGTAAAGTGAAGGGTTTGGAGTAGATGACCTCTGAGGTCCCCTTCCAGCTCTAGGCATAGGATCCTTTGAACTTAGGTCTTGTACAGTTGGAATTAAAATGAAAGGGTGTGTGTGTGTGTGTGTGTGTGTGTGTGTGTGTGTGTGTATGTGTGTGTGTGTGTGTATGTGTGTGTGTCTGTGTGTCTGTGTGTCTCGCTGTCTCTGTGTGTCTGTGTCTATGTGTGTCTATGTGTCTGTGTGTCTGTATGTGTGTGTCTCTGTGTGTGTGTGTGTCTGTGTGTGTCTGTGTCTGTCTGTCTGTCTGTGTGTCTGTGTCTGTGCGTCTGTGTCTGTGCATTTAAAGGCCATTTCAATAAATAGGTGACACCAGCCATCAGTTCTTTTACAGCCAGGCCATGGAAAATACTTCTGAGAAAACAAGACAGTGATTTCCCTGTTCCTAAAGTGTGGTGACCAGCAACGGCTTCCAGGAGACATTCCCAGGAGGATCGTTGGCTTCTAAAGTGATCCAGGTTTGCATCAGACGCAAGTAAAGACTGCCCATTCCTCATTCTCTTATTTGACCAAAGTTCGAGAGCTGGAAAGGACCTCAGAGGCACTCTAGTATAACGTTCTTGGTTTACAGATGGGGAAACTGAGGCACAGATGGGGGAGTGACATGACCTAGTCAGGATTTGAACCCAGGTCCTTTGACTCTTAGGCCAAAGCTCTTGCCTCTGTCTTACACTCTCTTCCAGGAAGTATTAGATAGTAATCTTCCAGATTTATAGAACGAGGTTAATGATTTCATTTTCTCTCTTCAGAGGCAATCAGGGTTAAGTCACTTGCCCAGGGTCACACAGCGAGCAAGTGTCTGGACTCCAGATTTGCGCTCAAGTCCCTCTGACTCCAGGGCCGGTACACTATCCTCTGTGCCACCAATGATGTCATTCTTATTGCACAGGTGACACAATTATATAAGGATCTAAAACTGACCTGGCAAATGGGGAAATCTTTTGCATTTTACAAGTTAATAATTTTTTAAGAGAATGAAGCTACTTTACTACAGGGTGAAGAATCTGGGGGCACACACGCTCTATATCCAGGAATTTACAGGTTAATATTGATGAAGAGCCCAGGCTCAGGAGTCTGAATCCCCCCTCTAACATGGGGCAACCTTGAGCAAGTCACTTATCCAATGTCCCTGCAGGCTTCAGGTTCCTTATTTATAAAAGGGGGGTGGGGTGGACTAGATGGACTCTGAGGTCCCCTCCTACTCTAAATCTAAGATTCCTGTATGACCTTGGATAAGTCATTTAACCTCTGTGGGCCTCAATTTCCTCACCTGTAAAGTGAAGGGATTGGCTTAGATGGCTTCATTAGTCCCAGCGGACAGGGACTGCTCTTTTTTCCTTCCTTCCTATCTCCAGTGCTTGGCACCTGGGTATGTAACAAATACTCATTGCCTTGACTTCACTCTGAGGTTCCTTCCATCTCTAGAGTTATAGTCTGCATAGTTCTTGGGTCTCATCGGCTGAATCTGATCTATATAAAAGGAAAAGAGTAATTAATTTAAACCTTTAAAAAAATTCGACAAGCTATTCATTTTTAAAATAATTTTTCTAAAGAATTTTATTCTAAATGATTTTTAAAAGTCAGAATTTTGTTGTTGTTTGTTTGTTTGTTTTTTTAGCGTGGCTGAGTTACTGAAGGGTTAACAGAAAAGGAGAAGACAAGAATTTGGAGGTAAGGAAAGCCTCCATTCTTCGTGGGCCTCCCATCTTTCCAGGAAGGGAAGTGCCTTGACTGCAGCCCCTTCTGAGCTGCTCAGGAGGGAATTCATTTCCCAGCTGTTTCTATTCATTTTTGTTAGTCTCTGCTCCCACGGTCTAATGGCAAACACCGGATCTGAGCGCCTACAACGCTGCTCCCCAACTGCATAGCTTGGCTCATGGGTGACTCATAGGCAGGATACGGTGAACCACCTCCTGTAACAGCTGGCCAGATGTCACTGCCCATCGGCTGGACACCACAGCATCTGGAGCTTCAGACAGCAGCAGAGAGGAGGAAAACGGGCTGAGCTCTGCTTTCACGGGGAAAGGGAGGGGAACGGTGGAAATTGGGCTTAAAGAAAGTCCTTTTCTTTTTTTTTTAAAATAAGATGGTATTGATATCTTTTGTTTTTACATCACCTACACATCTCCATGTCTCCTTCCCTTCTCCTCCCAGAGTGACATCTCTTAGAAGGAAAGGAACAACATAAAAAAAAAGAATCATTCAGCAAATCTAACCAATATATATAAAAAAAAAGTCCTGAAGTTACTGGCAATGTTTATTTCACACCCAAACCTCCTTGTATCAGCCAACAAACCGGGGAGGCAGCTTTTCTTATCTTCTTTACAATCAGCCGAGTGTAGGAGTGGATAGAGTTCTAGACCTGGTGTCAAGAAGACCTGAGTGCAAATCCTGCCTCAGACACTTAGTCATGTAACTCAGGGCCAGTCACCTAACCTCTTTCAGACTCTGTTTTCATCATCTATAAAATGGATATAAGAATATTTATAGAATAATAATGCTTGAGGCCGCTGGACCTGGAGTCAGGGAGACCTGAATCTGTATCCTGACTCAGACACTTACTAGTCCCTTAGGCAACTCATCTTAGCCTTTCTCAACCTCAGTTTCCTCATCTGTAAATTGGGCATAATAATAGCCTTTCCTTGCAGAGCTGTGGTGAGGAATAAATGAAATAACCTATGTAAAGCACTTGAAGACCTGAGGTATTACTATCCTTATTGCATCTTCGTTTTATAGTTAGTAGAACTAAGACCCAGAGATATGTGACTTGCCTGAGGTCACTTGGGTGGTGAGTGATGGAGCCTCAGAACATTCTGTCTGCCCACAGTAAGCACTTAAATGTTTGTTGACTGACTGTTAATATGTTGTGAGAGATTTCAGAACGATAAGACACAGGTCATACTCTGAAGGCCTTTTTTTTTTTAGGCAATTGGGGTTAAGTGACTTGCCCAGGGTCACACAGCTAGTAAGTGTCAAGTGTTTGGTCTGAGACCGGATTTGAGCTCAGGTCCTCCTGACTTCAGGGCCGCTGCTCTATCCACTGTGCCACCTAGCTGCCTCCTCTGAAGGACTTTTAATCTAGTTGCAGTTACAATACTAACATTTAATAAGGAATTAGAGAATATTTGTTTGGTTTACAGTCATGTGACCCCTTTTTTGGGTTTTCTTGCCAAAAATACTGCAGTGGTTTGCCATTTCCTTCTCCAGCTCACTCTACAGATAAGGAAACTGAGGGAAACAGGGTTAAGGGACTTGCCCAGAGTCACAGTTAGTAAGTGTCTGAGGCTGGATTTGAACTCAGGTCTTCCTTACTTCAAGTTTGGCGCTCTTTCCATTGCGCCACCTAGCTGCCTTAGAGAATACTACACAACCATGACTACTACTCAGAAGGAAGAGATTATTTGGTGTCAGGCTCCACAGAGGAGATAAAAATTTCTTTCAAATTTAATTAACTACTTACATAAGCATTTATTCTCTTTCCTTCCCATTGCCTCTAACTTCTAACTGAACAATTAAAAAAAAACACCCCCCCACACACAGAAAATATGCATAATTAAGCCCAACAAATCCCTACATTTGATGTGTCCAAAAACATATGTCTCATTTTGCATTTGGAATACGTCACCTCTCTTACCAAAGCGTGGTAAGGAAATCTCTCTGAAGGGAAGTTGGGGGGTACAGTGGATAGAGCCCACTCAACGTCCTCCCTCTTAACTTGTAGCTTCTTATTGTTTTGAACACAGCTTTCAAACCTTTCAAAGCTCACAGGTTTCAAGTCAGAGGAAATCATCTAATCCTTGTGTTCCAAGCTCCTTCCCATAAAGACAAGCCCAGAGGGGTCACCCAGGGTAGCAGGTAGGAGAAATGGAGTTGGAACCCCTGTGCTGTGAATCCTAATCCAGTGGTCTACCCATTGCGTCTTACTGCCTCTCTTACCATTCTGTGTGTGTGTGTGTGTGTGTGCATGTGTGTGTGTGTGTGTGTGTGTGTGTGAGAGACAGAGAGACAGAGAGAGAGAGAGACAGAGAGAGACAAAGAGAGACAGAGACAGACAGACAGACACATGTGGGAATCACGATGAGACCTCTTAGGGCACCCACCCCTTTCTTTGCTTTGCTACATTCACCATAGTTTTTCAGCCTCCTCATGACCCAGGGAGCACCTGGGCTCCCCAGCTCCAAACTATACTTTGCAAACCATAATACACAACACTCTATAGGATATCTTCCTGGAGGACAGGGTCATATCAGAGCTACAACTAGGGCAGGTTGCTGGGGACTTTGTCCTAGGAAGCCAAAATTTAGAGGGCAAGGATCATGCTTGCAATTCAGCAGCGTAGATACCATTAAGCTTAACAGTAGCTAGTGATAGTAGATATCACAGTGGGAACAGTTATCACTCTCCGTGCTGGGCACTTGACCAGTAAGCTGCTGGGTGACCCAGTCCAATGTTGCTCCACTCTGCCCCTTCTTGCAATTAAGATGCAGCTCAAACATAGGCATGAGGCTTTCCTGATCCCTTTGACCTCTTCCTTATATTGATTTTCTTTTTTTTCATTCTGTATATAATTATCTGTGAATGTAATATCTCCTGAGAGAATGGAAGCTTGATGAGAGTAGGGGCTATTTCATTTTCATCTTAGTAACCCTGGCACTCATCAAGGTGCCTGGCACATAGTAGGCGTGTAATAACTTGTTGATTTTTTTTTTTTGGAATATTTTTGAGTGTCTTCTGGTGGGGCTCAGGCTTCCAGGTCACTTCCTGCCCACACCGCCTCTACTTGGACTATCCATCACCTCCGTCTCTTCTCCATCAGTAAGCTGGGCTCTGCCCCTGAATCCTTGACCTCTTGTAAGTGTCTCTTTGAGGGCTAGGCCTCTGTAGCCTGTCCCTCTCCATGAGATGTCTCAGATTACTGACCAACCTCTCTTCTTCAAGTGCTTAATAAATGCTCTCTGTTTTTGTCTCTGTCTGTCTGTCTCCCTCTGCTAGGGTCTAGGGATAACAGGAAAACAACAAAAAGAGCCCTACCCCCAAGAAGTTTACATTCTCCTGTGGGGGAGGAAGAAACAACAGGTATATAAAAAAAAAATACAAACTATATACAATCATGAGTTATAACATCAGACTCCTTTGATATTTGAAATCAGACTTTTTGATGTGAGGTGAAACAGTGGATAGAGTGCCAGGCCTGGAGTCAGGAAGATGTCAGTTCAAACATAATTGGGAAATATTTAGCAAAATAAAAATACAAGAAGAGGTTACATTTTTTTAGTTAATTAATTTTCAGTTTTCAACACTCACTTCCATAAGCTTTTGAGTTTTAAATTTTCCCCTCCTCGCTCCCCAAAATGGCGTGTAATCTGATACAGACTCTACATATACATTTATATTAAACATATTTTTACATCAGTCATGTTATAAAGAAGAATTAGAACCAATGGGAGGAACCACAAGAAAGAAGAAACAAAACAACGAAAGAAAAGGAGAGCAAATAGTATGTTTCAACCTGCATTCAGACTCCTTAGTTCTTTCTCTGGATGTGGATAACGCTTTCCATCATGAGTCTTTTGAAGTTGTCTTAGATTCTTATATTGCTGAGAAAAGCCAAAAAACATTGCATTTTAAAACTAAGCCAATACGTATACTGCAGGGATGCTAATGTACAGATTAGTAGTCCCTATTTCTAGTTGAGTGTGACATGACTGCTCTGGGTAACTCTTTTTTTTTTTTTTGGTGAGGCAATCAGGGTTAAATGACTTGCCCAGGGTCACACAGCTAATAAGTGTCACGTGTCTGAGGCCAAATTTGAACTCAGGTCCTCCTGCCTCCAAGGCTGGAGCTCTATTCACTGCGCCACCTACCTGCCCCCTGGGCAACTCTTTAAGAAGAAGATGACAACCTGCATTGGTGGAGGGACGTTCCTCCACCTGGAAGTTCCTTTTTGCCAACGAGGATAATTGATTCAGTCCCTATCTCCCCTAAGAGGTGGCTCTCTGTCTCTTAAGAGATGGAGCTCTGTCTCTTAGGGTAGGTGATAGAGTTAGGGGAAAGCAGCAAGAACTGTATTAAAACAAAACCTATCAATGACAGTTTATTTTAAATAAAAAATAAAATAAATACAAAGTCATTTCAGGAGGGGGAAAGAAATAACAGCTGGGGGATCAGGCGAGTTCTTGCTGATAATATCCTGCTGCCTCCTTACACCCACCATGTTTCTATCTGTTTCCCTTTGAGTCACCTACAATTTTGATTATTCAGAGATGATGGTTTTCCATGATTCACAGACATGTGGCATCACTGAGAGAATTTAGAGGACTGGTTTTGAGGTCAGGGAGCAGTTTGGGATAATTGGATACCCTGAACAGTTTCCTGACTATGATCCCCCTCCCTTTCTTCCTCCCATCCAGTTCAGGGACCAGCCCATACATAATCTTTCTGTAGGCTTCACCAAAGCTACACCTCCAGGTGGATTAGCTCAATGGACCAATTGTATGCTGTAGTCTGGACACAAGTATTCATCTTCATCTGTTTATATTTTCTGGTGTAGATGGTTCATAGGGTCATAGATTTAGAGGAAGAGACCTTAGAAGTCACTGAATCCAACCTCTCCCTTTTACAGTTGAGGAAACTGAGACTAAGAGAATAAGTTGACTTGCCTGGGATCACATAGCTAATAAAATGTCTGAGGTAAGATTTGAACTCAGGTCTTCCTAACTCCAAATCCAGCATTCTATCCACTACAGTGTATACTATGCTGCCCCTCTTTTCAGCATCTGCAGCTCTTTGAAGTGGCCCTATATGTGTGTGTGTGTGTGTGTGTGTGTGTGTGTATGTGTGTGTGTGTATATATATATATATATATATTTGTAGTGAGGTAGCTAACAAGTATTAAGCTTCTTACTATGTTCCAGGCAGGCAATCTGCTAAGTGCTAGGGATACCAAAAAAGGTATATGCATATGTATAATAATGTATATATTAATGCATATGTGCATATATGTGT